CCAGCGAACCGCCCCTCGTTTGCGGTGCGTTGCTTGCAAGCGATCACACCATGGTTGTGTGTCAATGTGTGTATGTGTGTTTATGTGTTTGGAGAGGGCTGTTTGTCTGCCACTTTCTGCTCCACCCTCACGATGGCCACGTTTCCCCACCACTCGCTCGTTCCTGATTGCGCAGCGCATCGAGAAGCGGCTGTCGTCGGAGCAAGCGCTCAAGGAGCTCGACAACATCTTCAGGTGCAGACGGAAGCGCGCGCACACACATACACACACACTCATGCACTCACACACTCACACACTCACGTTCACTTACACACGTTAACACACTCGCACACACACACGTTCACTCACTCGCACGTTCACACACACACACACACACACTCTCTCTCTCTCACTCTCACGCACCCTTACACTTCTTCAACACCCCCCCCCCCACACACACACACACCACATGACAACGCCCTCTCCTCCTTTTCAGCGCGGTGGCAAGCACGGCAGCGGACGGCATGAAGTCGAGTGCACGACAAAGCGACATGGCAACACCGCCGCGAACACAACAACAACAGCAGCAGATGGATTCGTCGTCGCACATGCGGACGTCTCCTGGTGGCATTGAGGCCGCCATCAGTGCACTGCAGTCTGTACTGGACGAGAACACATCACCTGAGAAGCAGCAGCCACCGCCCGCCGCCGTTTCAACAGCCACGCCAACCTCAGCTGCAAGGGTGAGGCCAACAGCGACCACCTCCACCTCAACTGGGACGAGCATGTCTCCCGCGCCCCAACGCAGTTTTGCCTCAGCGACGACAGCGGTCACACCGCGCACCGCGCCCTCGCCTGCGGGCGTGACATCGCAACCGAAGCGAAAGTCAAAGATTCCGCCACTCAAGACGCTTCGACACGCGCGCGCACCGTCACCGCCGCCAGCACCGTCGCCGCCACGCCAGCCGACACCACCACCACCACCACCGCCGCCACCACCAAGAGAGCCGACCCCACCACCACCACCACGTGAACCAACCCCACCACCGGTGGAGCCTGCTGTGGCGGTTGCTGACGCATCTACGAGTCCCATCACGACTGAGGACTTGGAGTCACTGCTGGAGCCGAAGAAGGTCACAGCCGAAATTGGACTGCAGACAGACGAGGTTGAGGAGCCAAGGCCACAGACCGCAGGTGTGCTGTGTAGTCTGGTGTTGTGTGTTTGTTTGTTTGTTTGTTTGTGTGTTTGTGTGGTTGTTTGTTTGTGTGGTTGTGTGGTTGTTGGGGGTTTCATTTCGTTTGCCTGTGCATGTGTGTGTGCGTGTAGTTGTGTCGACGTTGTGACGTTGGCATTGTCACCGTCTCATCGTCGGTGCTGCATGGCTTGGATTGGTTGATGTTCTCAATTGTCCGGCCTCTCACAACCTTTTCTGACGACCACTTCCTGTTTTTGTTTTCCTCCAATTCACTGTGTGTGTGTGTGTGTTGCTCCTCGCTCACATCAACCCATGTCATTCATTCATTCGCATGTCGGTTGTGCACGTGTGCAGACGTTGGATTTCAGGTCGAGCTCGCACCGCCGGCGCCGCCGCCGCGTCCAGCCATCACGGAGCAGACGGCGCAGCTCATCAACGACAACGTCACGCTCAAGACCGATCTACAAGCCATGCGCCGTGCCCTCGCTGGCGCTCTCCGCTTGAAGGCAGACATCTTGGAAGGGACATACGAGCCGCCGCCACCCGAGGAGGGGGATGATGATGACGATGCTGGTGTTGGCGGTGGCGTGGGCGATGGCAGCCCCACGTACGACGTTGCCAACCACGAGTACGAGGCCGTGCACAGCGGTGTCATGCGGGCATCGGACGATTACGAATATGAGGAGCTGCATGGCTTCAACACGCCAGCAGGCGGCGGGCGCCATTTCAGACACAACGCCCACGCTGGTAGCATCCGCGGCAAGAAGCGGGCTGTCAAGCCAAAGGTGCGCGTGTGTGTACATGTGCGTGCGTGTGCTTGTGCTTGTTTGTATGGGTGCGTGGGTGTGCGTGGGTGTGCATATGAATGTGTGTGATTTGAAACAGGGAGACATTCGTGCTTCAATTTCCATGTCACGTCACACACACACACACACACATCCTTGCAACCACTGATAGGTCATTGAGCGGTTTACGAGTCTCTTCTCTGATCCGAGAGATGCTCAGGCGCTCGTGCACAAGGTACAGTGATGGGAGGCTGATTTGACTTGACTGGTGCGTTGCAGTGACAATCCCACGTGTGCCATGTGGACGTTTGACTGTGTTGCGGCTGTTGCCGTTGGTTTGTTGATGTGTGCACGTGGATGTGTGCAGAATCACGCGCACGCGTGCGCGTGTGTGCGTGTGTTATTGGTTGTCTCAAGTCTGGTAAAGTGTGCTTTTCTTTTGTGTTGTGAAACCAAAAGCACTCGACCAAGCCACAATACAGGAAAGAATCCACAAGACGAAAGCAGACCAGCATACACACACACACACACGCAAGAGAGGTAGGGGACATGATGTGAGTGAAGGTTGAAACAGCTCTGACAACTAGCGCGACACGTGATTATTGCTGGAAAGCCTCTGGTGGTAATGAGTTGCTCGCCTGGTCAATACAACGCAAGAAAAGCAGAAACGTGTGATGATGTAGTTGTTGTGAGTTTGTTGACAACTGAAAGCACACACACACACACACACACACACACACACACACACACACACACACACACACACACACACACACACACACACACACACACACACACACGCACACACACACACACGCACACACACACACCTGAAGTTCTCTGAAGTTTGCAACTGCAGCATCGTAAATCCAATTGTTTCCGGCAAGGCACTGAACACACACCCGACAAGAGCAGCAGCAGGGCCAAGGGGTGGGCAACATCGAACGGTTGCATGAAGTGGGATCGGCACAAAGACAAGACAAGACAAAGACAAGACAAGACAAGGCAAGACAACGCAGCACCGCCGTACCTCTTCGGAGAAGGCAAAGTTCATGCCTGTGTCGGCTGCCAGCTGCTGCACCATGGCCTGCTTCTGCGCAACATCGGGAACAGCAGCAGCAGGGGCAGCAGGGGCAGCGGGGGCAGACGGGGAGTTGGGAGGGGCACTTGCACCCGAAGGCACTGAATGCAGGGGATTGGAAGAAAGAAGAAACGATTGTGCAAGCGAGAGAAGGTGGAGGGGGGAGGGTTGGTGAGGGGTGAAAGGCAAATGGAAACAAAACAAAATCACGAACGAACGAACAAGTGAAGGAACAGACGACACAAGCAAGCAAGCAAGCAAACAAACAAAGCGCACACATCGTTGATGCAGCATGTGTTATGCAACTGTGAGCGGGAGAGAGACTGCAGTGAGCTGCATGATTGGTCACGCACCGGTGTCATGAGCGAGTGTGAGCGTCTCCGACTGGATGACGCATGGCCAGCCGCTCAGCGCTGCCGGTGATGTCTCCTCCGCAGGGACGAGGTGGAATTCGCGTCGAAACACGCGCTGCAGAACGCAATCGCGCGCCTGCTCCTGCAGCCGACCAGACACGATGCACTTGATGTCCGCACCCGTCGCCTCGCGCACACACTGGCATGTGGCGGTGATGATGGGTGGGTGGTCAGGGTGAGGGCAGAGAAGTGATGGATGAAAAAAGCCAAGAATACCGACATTTGTGTGTGTGTGTATGCGTGTATGCGTGTGTATGCGTGTGTGTGTTTGGGAACGTACCACAGCGACCTCTGCTGCATTCTGGTGCGTCGACTTGGGAAATCGCTTGAGCAGAGAAACGATATCAATGGGACCTGCAACCAAGTTTGAGCACAACACCCACTGGTGAGTGTCTGCTTCCAACGTGATATGCACACACAAAGAGAGTAAAAACAAATTCGCATAGGTTCTCCAAAGAGGGTGCAGCACGTCAGCAAGCGCCGTCATGGCACCTTGCTTTTTCGTGTGCACAGATCTTCCTTTCTTCTTCGGCGGCGCATACGGGCGTAGACTCGTCCTAATCACACACACACACACACACACACACACACACACACACACACACACACACACACACACACACACACACACACACACACACACACACACACACACACACACACACACGCACACATACACATACACGCACACGGTGTAGACAGGAGCATGAGTTGGTGCGTGAAGTGGACGGCGAAAGCAGTGCCAGGATCATCGTCGATTGCACGGCAGAGCCGACATCCAGAGCGGCCACTAAGGTGAAACAAGAGCACACACACACACACACACAAAACACACACACACACACACACACACACACACACACACACACACACACACACACACACACACACACACACACACACACACACACACACACACACACGTACGCGCACACACACACGTACGCACGTACACGCGCATGGTGTACGCACTTTCCGTGGCCAATGGAGGGCACGTGGAGTTGAAAAGTGGCGTCCTCCTTGTACGCGTGCATGAGCTGATCCCGCTTCGAATCAAAGATGGAGAAGAACCTGACACACGCACGCACACACACACACATACACACACATACAGACAAAGAAGCAAATTGTCGCACACGAACACACACACATGGAGGTGAGAATGTGCGAGTAGTTGCACAGGCACGCCCAAGAACACACGTGCACAAGATATGTGGCCGCACAGAACACAAAGCATACGCGGGCTTACTTTGCGAGGAATTCCCTGCATCCAGCGACAAGTTCTGGCGGGCCCGTGTTGTTCTCGTGCGGCGCGAGCAGCACCTGCTGCGGCAGCGACTGTTTCGGGGCGTCTTTGCTCGCCGACGTGTGGGTGACGGGCAGCTGGTCCACCTCCGTCAACTTGCGGAAATACCGGCGCAGCGCCCTGGCGGCGAGCACAACACAACCAGTCGCACAGTGTGGATTTGGTTGGTTGGTTGGTTGGTTGATTGGTTGATGTGTGATGGCGGTGGAGACGTGGATTGCAATGAAAAGGAGTGAGCAAGCACAATCGTGTTCGTAATCGCAAAAAGCAGGCAGGCGGCTGTGACACCGTGGCGTGCAGACTCACTTCTCGTAGCGCTCGCGGGATGTTGAGTATTTGACGACACACGGGTTGTTGAGGAGGAGCAGGACCTCGATTCCGCGGCAGCTGCGAAGATCCGACAGCGCAGACAGATCCTGAGAGCGTGCGTGTGTCGGTGTGTGTGCGTGCGTGTGTGTGTGAAAATGTGTTAGTGTGTGCGTGTGTGAAAATGTGTTAGTGTGTGCACAAGTGTGAGGGAGGGCGAGTGTGGCGTGTGTTGTGGTTGAGCTGGACGCGATGTGCGTGAGAAAAGACACGCATGACAAATCACCACGAACATTGCACACAAAATACACATTTGTGTAGTACGCGTGCTGTTGTGAACCTTAATGTCGTTAGTGGCGAGGCTGAGGTTCTTGAGTTTCTTTGCAACGTTCCCAAGGCGCTTCCAGCTCTCAAAAGAGCGGATGTTGTTCTCGCTCAGGTCTGAATGCAACACGAGCGCGCAACGACCATCCATGTGAGACATGATGATCGAAGAAAAGCGAGAGGAAGGGGAGACAGAGAACGAGGAAGGGGGGAGGTAAGTGGAGACAGAATGTGCACACTTGGCGCACACAGTGTGAACGAGTGGGTGCAAGCACGTGTGGGCGTGCGCGTATTGGCTCAGAAACGGGCGTGTGGGTGCCCAATGCACCTGTCCTCACCCAATGTCACGACGTCCGCGCAGTTTGCTTTGATCACATCGATGATGGCGTTGGCCAAATCAAACGAGTTGAGCCCGTCCGCAGGCATAAACGCAGACTGCACGAACACAGTGTGTGTGTATGTATGTGTGTGTATGTGCATGCGAGCGTGAGTATGTGTGGAGGTTTGTTGAAATGAGCAGCCGTCTCCCAGCTGACACGGCCCACGAACATCGAGGACACGGCAGAATCGCAAGCCCACACATGCACTCGACCAGCAAGGAACAAAACACACACACACACACACATACGCACACACGAGAGAGAGAGAGAGAGAGAGAGAGAGTGTGTGTGTGTATGCGCGTACAAAGGTGCGCACCATGGAAGGGTCATTGACAAAGTTGCTGAGGTTGAGGTGCTTGCTTGCTGGATCGTAGCGGGGACTCAACAGCTCCTGCCGTCAACAATTTACACAGGTTAACGAAAGCGGTGCATGAGATGACGGGATTTGACATGACAGTACACAGGAACACGGCAGATGGACGTCCTCACGCATGCGGGCGATATGACGTGTGTGTATGCACATGTGTGTGTGTGTGTGTGTGTGTGTGTGTGTGTGTGTGTGTGTGTGTGTGTGTGTGTGTGTGTGTGTGTGTGTGTGTGATGTGTGTCGTACCGGTGGAAGCTCAAAGGATGAGGCCTTGCTGCCCTTGACCTCAACCTCCTTGACGTTGATGGAGATGGGCTGGTCGTTGAGCATGGCGCGGCTGTTCAGCCGCTTGAACGTGTTCACTGCGCGCTCGTTCACAGACGGAAGCGTGAAGATGACCGAATTCTTCGTTTCCCGACACTGCCCGCCATCAACGCGCAATAGAGTGAGTGAGTGAGTGCGTGTGTGTGTATGTGTGTGTGTGTGTGAGTGAGTGAGTGCGTGTATGTGTGTGTGTGTGTGCGAGCGTGTGGACACTTCGCTGAAGTGCGCAAAGGACAACAGCATCACCACGCCCTCACTCGCTCCAGGGCTTTTGACAAGTTGGGGTCGACTCATCCAGAACAACGACCACACACTGCAATTCAGCAACACCATGGGTACCTTGATGACGTGGAAGCTCTCTGCGCAATTGGCGCGGAGGAATTGTTCGATGGTCTCCGCCGGCAGCTTGCTCGGATTCAGCACCTGCAATACGTGCAGAGTAACAGGAGTGTGGTGTATGAGTGTGTGTGCGTGTTTGAGAGTGTGCGTGCCACGAGAGGGGAGAATCACGAACAAAGCGAATTTCACGGTGCAGGAGCACACATAACCAACAGCGACGGTGGCAGTAAAGTGCAGCACCCTGCCCTGCCCCTGCCCTGCCCCTGACCACACAGACACACACCTGGACGTTGTATCGGATGCGGCCCCGCATCGCCGCCACAGAGCTCTTCAGCACTGGATGCAAGGTGTTGCGGTGAGAGGTGGAGGGGTGAGTTGCAGGGTACAAGGAATATATTACGGTGTGACAGGTTGCACTGTTGCTTCAAGACGTGCGAGGGCACCACACATCGCCAGCGACATTTGTGGCCGTGCGTTATCTTCTACAAAGACACACAGCAGTTGACAACGTAAAGCAGAGCAGAGTGGCTCCACTAGCACTTACTTGCTGTTCGCTTGGAGCTTGACTTGCTTCCCTTGATGTCAGTGAGCGCCAAAGCACGTGCACATGAGTGTGAGGGAATGAGTGGATACACTCACGAATGGTGTTGCACAGAAGCAGGATAAGCAATAGCGCAACAGCAGATACAGGCTGGCTACCCTGAACTTACTTTTCCTTTCTTCTTCTTGCTGCCCTTCTTGCCTTGGCGACCTCCCTTCTGATTTGTCCTTGTCCTTGCTGCTGTCGACATGACAACATCACCATCACGATCCATTGCTTGCTGCACATGCAAACGGTATGTGTGTGCGTATGTGTGCGTGTATGTGTGTGTTTGTGTGGATGTGCGTATGTGTGTGTGTGCGTGGAAATGGGTGTTGGAAGGACGGACAAAAGAGAGGGTGAGGACTGTGTTGGTGACCAGCGAGCAAAGGGGTGGCAAACATGCACTCCAGCGTACCTTTCCCTTCCTGCCTTTCTTCTTGCGCGCTCCGGAGGGCATAATGAAACCTGAGATGCCCACACAGGTGCTACAGCGTCAACAAGAGGTAGATCGACGTGGTGTGTATGAAACACCTGCCTCGGGCTGGCAGATGCAAGGGAACCCGGCGAGTCGAGAAGCCAGAGGAGGGGAAGTAGGTCGAGGCGCAGGGGAAGCAGGAAGCAGAAAGCAGGAAACAGGGGAAGTATACCAACTAGACATGCACGCACGCACGCACGCACAGACACACAGACACAGACACAGACACAGACACAGACACAGACAGACAGACAGACAGACAGGCAGACACACACACGCACGCACAGACACAGACACAGACACAGACACAGACACAGACACACACACACACACACACACACACACTGGTAGAGCACCAACACCAGCAGCGCACCCGACATGCTCTCGCCCTTTGGAGGTCGAGAGTGGGCAACGGCTGCTTGGCGGCTTGCAGTCACAGGGGTGGTGTAAGGCGTGGACATGGAGTTTGCGGTCGAAAACATGCCCAATGAGCCACCCTGAGGCTGCTGCCGCTGCATGACCGGCGGCTGCCGTGCGACACCGCCGAGGGCTGCTTGGAATGCTGCGCAAGCGTTCACACGTGTTGGCATCAGGGCGCATCAACGACAGCGTGATGTGAGACACAACTCGCTCGCTTGCTTGTTTGCTTTGAAGGAAGCTTGTCTTCTCGCTTGCAGAATGCAAAACCCCAGCAAATGCTCATGGTTGGTGGTCGACACGCCTCCTTGTCCACACACTCACACCCACCCACACACGGCCACCCCTACGCCGTCGTGCGCACACCACGCCGTCGTGCGCACACCACGCACACCACGCACACCACGTTGACACCGACCTCGGCTCATCTCTCGGAAACCAGTTTGATTCCAAAACGGTCCGCGACAGCACGAAATGACAATGTGGTTTGGTGCGTTGTATTGCAAGCAAGGGTCCAACAAGCACACACCAACACACACACATCAGTCATCATGTGTCACATCACATCACAACATCACAACACACATCTCAATGCAAACACGGTGTTGGTTTCAGTGCCCGGGTCACATTCACGTTGTTCACTGCAGACACAGACAGTGGAAGGCGGTGTGAGTTGGGGGGCGGGGCGGGGAGGGACATGTCAGTCCAGCACAACAGAAGTGCGCACAATCTGTCATCAAACACACACACACACAGACACGCACACACACAGACACACAGACACGCACAGACAGACACGCACACACACACACACACACAGACAGACACGCACAGGACTGCTACTGCACCTGGTCGTCCTCTGTGACGTCGCCGTAGATCCACATGCCGTCGCGGGCGGCAATGGCGCGGGCCTGCGCATCGCGGTACTTCTTCATCAGAGCGTCAAGCAGCGGCGGCGCCTGCTTGTCCACACGCCCGTAACCGCACGCAATCAGCTCCCGGCCTTGGTCGACCTACAACACAACACACAAAGCGCGCAGCGCAGGCAACGACGCGTGCAGTGAGAGATTGTGATGATGCACAGGGGCTGCATGGGGCTGTTTGTCATGACGAAGAAGGAGAGTGAGGGCCACTAAACAAAGCAGCAATCTCATCGCGAGCATGCAGCGATGGCTAGCATGTGAGAGACTGCCAAGGATAGCCAAGTGCGGCTACTGGGCATGGCGTGGGTGCACGAGCTGAGGTTACCTTGCCGTCCATGGTGGTGAGGGTGACGTGCTCGCCCTCGCTGTCACGGTACTCGGAGTTGCACATGAACGACTTGTCGAGCAGCAGGTCAGCAACCACGCTGCGTACGAAAGTACGGATGTGCATGTGGGTGCATGCGTGTGTGGGTGTGAGCAAATGGATGTGTAGGTGAATGTACGTGCGCATGTATGAGCACTCAAACGCATGGCAAACAGCAACAAGACAACAGCCGTGTGCATGGTCAGGGTGACACGGCAAGGAACCTCACTTTTGTGCCTCTGCCTCCCAGTCGGCCGGTGCGGGGGCAATGCCGGCAAGCGTCACCAGCCGCGCCTGCGTACAAGCACGCGCGTGTGTGTTCGTGAGTTGGGTGTGTGTGTTTGCATGTGAGAGCATCGAACGTGCATGGTTCAAACAACTCTGCTTACAGACAGAAGGACATGACACAAAGACACGGACATACAGACACGGACACAA